GCAGCAACAGTGCAGCCAGCTACCCTGAGTCTAGCAGCAAACGCCAAACAGCAACAGCAGCAGCAACAGCTGCTGCAGCAGACTCAGCCACAGTCCCCTCTTGTGCTGCTTTGCTGCAGTTTTTCTTCTCCTTTCCCGAGAGTGGCCTTCTGACGCCTACTGCAGAGCACTTCAGCCGGTTGCGGCGAGTGAGTTGCTGCTGCTGCTGCTGCTGCTGCTGCTGCTCTTGTTGCTGCTGGTTGTGCTGCTGGCGAGGCTGTTGCTGCTGTCTGATCGTAACTGCTGGTGGTTTCTCGCCCGTGCTGCTGTTGCTGCTGCGTTTGCTGTAGGAGTTGGGCTTGGCCGCATTATCTGAAATTTGTGCACATTTCTGCTGCCGTTGTTGTTGCTGCTGCTGCTGTTGCTGCTGCTGCTGCTATTGCTACAGAGGCCGCAGACATGGACGGAAAAGACCTGCTGCGGTTTTGCCGTGTCATAGAGGCCCGGCGCAAGCGCCGGGCAGCAGCAGCAGCAGCAACAGCAGCAGCAGCAAGCGCTCCTGCAGTTGCTGCCACAGAGGCTGCTGCCATGGCAGAAGATGAAGACGACTTAGCAGCAGCAGCAGCAGCAGCAGCCGCTGCGGGCAGCGCTGCGTCTCATCCACAGAGCCACCTACAGCAGCAACAGCAGCATAGCAGCAGCGCCGACAGCAAGAATGGCAGCAGCAGCAGCAGCAAAGAAACATATGCGGAAAGCGAAGCGCTGCAAGAGCTGCTGCCTCGTGTGGGCCGCCAGGTGCTGGCAATTGTAAACCCTAAACCCTAAACCCTAAGCCCCAGAACTGAATCTCTTACACAGACCCTCATCTTATTTTTGCTTATTTGATGCCTTGCTGCTGCTTCAATTGCTGCGCGCGGCCGTTGAAGCAGACGGCCTAGAGGCCACAGCTCTAGCTGCTGCTGCTGCTGCTGCTGCTGTTGCTGCTGCTGCTGCTGCTGCAGCTGGCTGCGATGCCATTGCGATCAATGCTGGAAGTCTTGACAGCAACGGGAGGAGATATGCGCGTCGTTGCTGCTGTCGTGCTGAAGCTGCGTAACTCTGCTGCTGCTGCTGCACCACCAGATCTTGCTGCTGCTGCGAAGGCGCTTGCTGCAGCTGCAGTAGTTGACGCCAAGGCCTTTCGTGAGCGCCAGTTCCAGGGCCTGCAGCTGCAGTTGCTGCTGTTGCTGCTGCTAATCCTGCTGCTGCCCCTAAATTTGCTGCTGTCGTTGGCAGCCGCAGGCTTCAGTGCCTCAATCAGCTTCTGCTGCGTCGCTGCGACTGCAGCAATGCCTGCAGCTGCTGCTGCTGCTATTCTTGCTGCTGCTGCTGCTGTTCTTGCTGCTGCTGCAGAGGAGCTGGACAAGTACTGCGCAGAATGCTTCAGCTTGTGGAACCCCACAGACCTCGCGGCCCTCATTGCAGCAGCAGCAGAGCTGCATGTTTTGCTGCCCGAGACGCTGCAGCAGCTTGCAGTGCATGCACAGACTGTTGTTGCCAGTGAGCTTGCTGCTCCTGCTGCTGCTTTTGCTGCTGCTGCTGCTGCAAATAGTAAGGGGCCTTGGCCTGATTAGATTTTTTTCAGGGCTCATAATATTCCCTGCTGATGCGTTTACTGCATTGGCTGCTGTTGCGGCTGCTGCTGCTGCTGCTGCTGCTGCAGGAGCACCCCTGGAGGACCTCACGCTGCTGCTGCTTGGGTGTCTCCGCCTGCACCGTGTCCCTCAGTCTTTTCGCTCTGCAGCAGCTTTGCGGCTAAACGCTGCGGCCGACAGCTGGCAGCAGCAGCAGCTGCCGCTGCAGCAGCGGCAGCAACTGCAGCTGCGAAAGGATATAGCCGAGCTATCTCCTGCAGCTGCAGCAGACCTTGTCGCAGCAGCAGTGTTTCTGAAACTGTTCCTTCCAAATGAGACGGTGGTGAATAAAGCTCTTGCCGCCATCGAGCTGCTGCTCTGCTGTTATGGTGCTGCTGCTGCTGCCGTTACGCGTTGCTGCTTATGTTGCTGCTGCTCCTAGAAGGTAAAACTCCAGATGCTGTAGCGTTTCTTTGCCTGTGCTGATGGCTCTCTGTGTCTTGCTCTGTTTGCTGCTGCCGCAGCAATTGCTGCTGCTGCAGGCCCCTCCGCATGAGCTCGAGCTTCAGCGCCTAGCGCAGCTGCTGGGGGCCCTTACCCAACAAGCTGCAAAGGGGGCCCCCTTGCCTCTCAGTTTCCTGCTGCTGTCAGCCAACAGAATTACAAGTCGCATTGCTCCTGCTGCGCTGCAGTTGATGCAGCGGCAAGCAGCGCAGCAGCGACAGCAGCAGCAGTGGCATCTGCAGGAGCAGACCGAAAGCAGCCATTCTTCAGCAGCAGCAGTAGCCGTGGACCCAGTTAGCTGCTGCACTCTCCTGCATGCGCTTGCGTATGGCACAGCTGCAGCAGCCTCTGCAGCAAAAGACCTGGCGCTTCCTTTGATTGCAGCTCAGAAGCTGCTGCAGGCAGTCTATGTGCTGCAGCAGCAGCAGCAGGACCTTCAAGTCTATCCACAGTCGCTTGTGGACTTCCTCAAGGCCCAGCAGCTAACTGCAGCCCTCTTCAGCGTACCCGGAAGACATACTGCAGCAGCAGCAGATTCTGGGCCTGAACCTGAAGCAGCTGCAGCAGCAGCAGCGGCCGTCCGCGCTGTTGCTGCAGCGGCTGCTCCAGCAGCTACTGTGGAGGCAACAGCAGCTTCCCCTGCTGAAGCTAGACTTGAAATACCCTTCAAGGCCAACTTGCAAGTGGGGGATTGGAAAAAAACTCTTTGTAAGGAGCTTCAGGACCTGCGAGACTCCTTTGTGCGTGCTGCAGCTGCTGAAGGCGCAGCTGCAGCAGAAGCAGACACAGCGGCAACAGCGCCGGGAGAAGCAGCAGCAGCAGCTGCTGCTGCTGCTGCCAATACTGCAGCAGACTCTTTGTTGCCAGAAGGCAGAGACCTGTGGCGTCGCGCTGCCAACGCGGAAACGCTGCGCAAAATCGTCGAAACCGTGGCGCAGCAGCAACAGCAGCAGCAGCAGCACCAGCAGCGGGGTTTCTCTTCGCGGCAGCTTTTCTCTCTTGCCTATTCCGTGGTAAGCAGCACTCTGCACTCAGCAGCCCATTCTTGAAGCCCCAAGAAGCAAATTTTTGTGGGATTTGTTTTCAGGGGTCAACTTCGCTGCTAGGTCCTCTTCAGGACACTCTTTGCACTGCTCCGTTTTTTTGCTGCTGCGAACAAAGTACAGCAGCAGCCGCTGCAGCAGGTGCTGCAGCAACGGCGGCTGCAGCGCCTGCCGCCTCTTCAGCAGCTCCAGCAAGGCTGCAGAGAGAAGTTCTGGGGATCTTGCTTAGTGTTCTGCAGCAGCAGCAGCAACAACTACCGGCCCCTAAAAGCACTGCTGAAGCGTTGCAGCAATACGTAGGCTATTCCCACCGCAGCTGCTGCTGCGTCCGTTGCTGGCCGCTGCCGACACTACTGCTATTGCCGCGGCTGCTGTTGCTGCTGCTGCTGCCGCTGCTGCAGCTGCGTCCGTCAGGCCTAGCAGCTGGCTGTCTTTGCGGCTGCGTCCCCAGGCTGTCAGCAGCTACTGCATGCGCGTGCTCTCTATGCCCCTGGCCCACAACTTTGGCCCAGAGGGCCAGCTCGAGGTGGGGGTCCCCCTGCATGGGGCCCCCCTGCATGGGACCCCCCTGCCTGGGGCCCCCCTGCCAGCTGGGGGCCCCCCAGCCCTGCAGCTAAGGGCCCCCCGGGTAGAGCAGGAGCTGTTTTCTGTGCTAAAGGAGGAGGGAGTCTCAGTGGTGGTAGGCAGGGTTTACGGTCTAGGGTTTCGGGTTTACGGTCTAGGGTCTGGGGTCTAGCTAGGGTTCAGGGTTTAGGGTTTAGGGCCTGGCTGGGATGGGGAGAGCAGAAGGCAGATGGAGACAGAGACAAGAGGAGATCAGGAAACAAAAAAGCTGGCAAAGAGAAAAATCGACTGTCTCCTTTTGGCTGCGCAGCTGGGGCCCCGGGTGGTCCCCTGGGTCTGTGTTGCTGCTGCTGAGACCAGCAGCAGCACAGCCTACTGCTACCTGCCGCCCTCCAGCCTGTGTGCTTCGGCGCGGCTAGTAGCAGCAGCAGCAGCAGCAGAGACGGAGGCGCAGCAGCAGACAGGCACCAAAGTGCAGCGGCTAAAGGTGGAGACGGACGGCCTGGGCTTTGTCTGGGTCGGGGGCTGCAGCACAGTGCAGCAAGACACTGCTGCAGCACTAAAAGCCCTTCAGTGGTGGGGCTGGACTATTTTGCTGCTGCCCCACACTCTCTGGGAGGGCCAGGCTTCCCCGAGGCAGCGCGCGGAGGCCCTCAAGAGGGCCCGCGAGAGGGCCTCAGGGCCCCGTGCAGCATAGGCGGGCTGCCTGCTGCTGCAGCAACTGCTGCTGCTGCTGCAGCTGCAGCTCCAGCACCAGTGGTAGCTGTAGCGCCAGCCATCACTGCTGCAGCAGCAGCAGTGGCAGTGATGGCTGTGGCGGCAACTGCACACGGCCAGTCGTCGCAGCAGCAGCAATAGCTGCTGCAGCAAACCTGTCAGAAAGTGCCAAGTGCAGCAAAACAGCACATCTTCTGAGGTGTACATACAGCTGAGCGCAAGGCACTCTGGTGTTGCGCCGAGCATGAATAAATATAAATGAACAAAATGCCACTAGAATTCCAGATCTATTTATTGTTTTCCAGAAAAATTATGTTGAGAAATAAATGTTTATAAGGTGAAACGAAAGCGACGGCAGCAGGACTCGAACCTGCGCGGGCAGAGCCCAGTGGATTTCGAGTCCACCTCCTTAACCACTCGGACATGCCGCCGACTGCCGGCGCTCAACTAAGCACTGTGTCTTCATTTGTTGCTGAGCTTGCAGCTGCTGCAGCTTGCTGCTAGGCTTTGCTGCAGCTGCAGGGCCTCTCGCCTGCTGCGGGACCCCACGGGGGCCCCCTGCTGCACTCTGGGTACCTGCGGAGGGGCCCCCTGGCACGGCGAAGCACAGGGCACCAGTAAGAGACACTTTAAAAGCTAGAGGGGGGACCCCTGAACCCAAGAGTCACCTGGGGCCCCACCCGCCCGTGTGTAAAGGGCTTAGCCGCAGCACAGACATGCTGGGGCCCTTACCCGCAGCGGCTCGCTGCAGCTAGCCGCAGCTAGCCACAGGTCGCCGCAGGTAGCTGCAGCCAGCTGCAGCAAGCTGCAGTCGACAGCTGCCGTGAGCTGCAGCTAGCCACAAGTGACCCGCGCCTACTAAGGCTGTTTGGAAGCTGCAAGCTGCTGCTGCTAGCTGTGCTGCCCCCTGTGGGGTGGGAAGAAAGGAAATCTTTAAATAAACTCCTGGGGGTCCCCCGGGGGAACCCACGGCCCCCCAGTGTGCTGTGGGCTGCTCTGGCTGAGTGCAAGGGGAGGGAGAGAACGCCCACAGAGCAGCAGGGGCTGCTGCCGCAGGGGCCGCAGCAAAAGGCTGTTTTCAAGCTCTCTCTGCTGCATGCATGCGCTATTAAACGCCCCAATTTATTTATAGACAGGAGCATGCAGCTAAAGATGGGCAGTTTCGCTCGAAGAGCGAAGCTAGGGGGTCAAGGTTGGGAGCCCGTCTAGCGTTGCGCTCCGGCGAAGGCGGGGCTCCCTGCCGCTAAAAATTCGCCAGCTCGTAAACGTTGTCAATAAAATTGTAAAAAACAACTAAATTAATCGACTAAAGAGTCTTATTCGCCTTTTGAAGGCCTGCAAGGGAGCCTGAGGGGCCCCGGCAACCTCAGGTGGAAGAGCAGCGCGGGTCCTCAGCCCCGACAGCACTGGGGCCGGAAGCAGAGAAGTAAAAAGGTGAAGAGGCAGAAATTAATTTGCTTGAATTTGTAAGTGGCTTTGAGAACTCAGCTGTACGTACACCTGGAAGGCGCGGCGCCGAGGCTCCTTACCGGCAGATTGAGCTGTGACAACTTCTGCGTCACTATCACCCCGCTGGCGTGGCTCTTTCTTTTCGCGCTTTTCATTTCTTCTGCGTTCTTTTTTATTTCCATTTTGCGCCATTTAGAAAACCTCAGATCCTTATTTGCCCCTTGCATTCCCCAGAGCTGCTGCCAGGGTTGCTGCTGCAGCAAGACTTGCGGCCAAGTACAGGGGCCCCCCCATACAGCAGCTACAGCCCTTCCAGCCAGTTATGGAGAGGGCAGTCCAGAGCTCGGGGCGCCTTTTGTTGGCCTCCCCTGTGCTGCTGGCCCGGGCGCTGCAGCGAGCAGCTGCAGCAACAGCAGCAGCAACAGCAGCAGCAACAGCAGCAAGCTCGCCTTGTTTGCATTCCTTCGCACGCGAGTCCACTCAGGCAAACGTGCGCTATCGCTTGCCCAAGCCGTCTCGCGGGGCCCCCCGGGGGCCCCGGGGGGCGCCCCAGAGCCTGCCCGCAGACAGAGGGGCCCTGTGGCGAGGAAGAGGGGGGCCCCCCGGGGGGCCCCCCTTTGAGGGGCACCGGCTTTTTTCGAGGGCTGCTGCAGCCAAGATCGCAGGCGAGGGGCCCCCCGAAGGCAGTGGGGGCCCCCCAGCAGGTTCAGGGGCCCCCTCAGCGAAGTTCCAAACTTTGAGTGATTTGCTGCAGCAGGAAAACAGTCTCAGCGGCCTCTTCGAAAGCTACAACAACGAGTAAACTCCCCTAAACCCTAAACCCCAAACCCTAAACCCCAAACCCTAAACCCCAAACCCTAAACCCCAAACCCTAAACCCCAAACCCAAACCCTAAACCGCAAATTCTAAACCCCAAACCCTAAACCCCAAACCCAAACCCTAAACCGCAAATTCTAAACCCCAAACCCTAACCCCTAGCCCTGGGGGCGGGCGTGGGGAGCGCAGAGTGGCGGCTGTGGGGTGTACGTACACCGCAGGAGGTCGCTGGGCTCGCTGCTGACGCTGCAGCAGCTGCAGCAGCAAATGGATCGGGTGGGCCGCCTGGAGAGGGAAGCTGTGCTGCGGCGGGGCCTTTCGCAGCAAATGGCGCGGCAAGTTTCTGTGCAGAGTTTGAGGCCTTCTTTGGGAAACAGAATTCCCTTCAACGACTTCGTGTCTGCTGCTGCTGCTGCTGCCTGGGCGGAAGCAGCAGCAGCAAGGGCCAACAGCGCAGCAGCAGTGCGGCTCCTCCGCCGCCTGCCTCTCAGCCAAGGTGCGCAGCCCCAAACCCTAAACCCTAAACACTGCTCTTGCTGCCAGGCCCGCAAGAAAAGCCAGTTGCTCTTAAAGACGGAGTTGGGAGACGGAGCTGCTGCGGTTTCGGGGAAACCCCGAAAATCAGGGTTTAGGGTTTAGGGTTTAGGGTTTAGGGTTTGGGGGTTTTGGCCCGCTTGGTGCTGCAGCGGCGAAGGCTCTTGTGAGTAGCTCGACGACTCTTTACTTCAACATAAATGAATTCTGTGAAGCCCTGCAGCCGCTGCTGCTGCAGCAGGGGGCCCCCCAGCAGCAAACAGGGGGCCCCCCTGCTGCTGCAGACGCTCCGGAGCTGCGAGATCCGCAGCTCGTTAGGGCCGCCCTTGAAGGTGAGCCGCTGTGCAAACCCTAAACCCTAAACCCTAGTTGCTTCCCCTCCGGGCGTCGCCTGTACGCACTGGGTCCCATCAGCAAAGCCCTAAACCCCAAATGGCAGCGGCACCCAGCGCCTGAGTCCGAAACCCTAAACCGTAGCCGAAACCCCAAACCCTAGCCAAAACCCTAAACCCTAAACCCTCTCCCTGCGGGCCGTGCTGCAGAGGCCTTCGAGGCCGTGCAGGGCAGCCGCAGCGGAATCGCTGACGCACTGGAGTTGCTTTCGGGACTTTGTCGGTTTTGCCAAGCTGACGAGGACGAGAGAGTGAAGGGTAAGTGCAGCAGCAGCAGCAGCAGCAGCAGCAGCAGCAAAAGCAGAAGCAGCAGTAGCAGCAGGCGGCTCTTGGGGTGGGCCTTGGCTTGCCTATCTTAGGGTTTTGAAGCAGAAGTAAAACCCTGGGGTTTTGTTTGTAGGGGATTTGAGCTTTGGGATCCCGGAGTCGGGGCCAAGATATTAGGTTTTAGTGTCTAGGGTTTAGGGTTCAGGGTTTAGGGTTTAGGGCTTTGGGGTCCTGTGCCTCAGCGAGCTTTGTACTCCTTGACAAAGAAGGCCGCGGCCGTTTGGACTTCTTCGTCGTCGCTGCTGTCTTTCACCACCTGCACCGCAGTATGTCCTGAGACTCTAAACCCTAAACCCTAAACCCTAAACCCTAAGGACTGAGTCCCTCACTTGAGCCACGGGTACTTTGTAGAAAAGCACACCAGCAAGGGCCTCGTTGTGAAGCGGCTCACTTGGCAGCGCGTCTCAGCATAAAGTAGGGTTTAGACCAAGGGTCCAGGGTTCAGGGTTTAGGGTTTAGGGTTTTGAGTTGTTGTGCAGTGCTGCTTACGCCCTCTATCGTGGACAAGCTCCGGCGGGCTCGCGTGTCGTTTAAAAGTGTAAGTGGGTTGAGGTGTACGTACAGCTGAGCGGCGCACGTAGTGTCCGCATTTGCATTTCTTGTCACAATTTATTTTCTTTTTTATTTTTTTTGCAGGTAGATGATTTGGCGCTGGCGAGTGCTGTAGAATTATTTAAAGACAAGTATCCGTTTGTCACAATGGCCCTTGAGGGCTGCTGCGGCCTGCAGGGTCGAGCTGCAGCAGAAGCAGCAGCAGCAGCGCCAGCTGCAGCGTCCGCAGCAGCAGCACAGGCAGCAGCAGCAGCAACAGAGTGCGCTCGCAAACAGCTCTATGTTGACCCTACTGAAGAACCCTGGAAAACTGTCTCTCGGCATGCCGGCCTCACCCTCACCTTTGACGAGTTCGAGCGCGAGTAAGCGAGGGTGTACTTAGGGTTTAGATCGAGGGTTAAGCTCGAGGGTTTAGCGCGAGGGTTTAACGCGAGGGTTTGGTGCTACAACTTAGCGCTAGGGTTTGACGCTAGGGTTTAGTGCGAGGGGTTAGCGCTAGGGCTTTCAGTGTTAGGGTTTAACGCTAGGGTTCAGGGCTAGGGATTAGCGTTAGGGTTTTGGGCTAGGGTTTAGCGCTAGGGTTTCGGCCTAGGGTTTAGCGCTAGGGGTTGTTACTGCCCTGAGGGTTTGGGCCTCGGCGCTTGGGTTAGACCCGTGAAGCCACTGAGGGTTTTGGCGAGGGTTTAGGGTTTGGTGTTTTTGGTTTGCTTCTTATGTGCTGCAGGTGTAAGGACACCCCGAATGAGGCAACCCTTAGCGCGACGTCCTTGTTGAGACTTCCGCTAATAGTTGTTCTCCGCGACTTGTTTTGATCAGGCGAGCTAGCTATCTGGCTAGCTAGCTATCTGGCGAGCGGACTGGCTAGCTAGCTATCTGGCTGGCTGGCTATCTGGCTGGCTATGTGGCTAGCTGGGCTGGGATTCATATGGCCCGTGGCGGGCGGTTGGCAAAGGTGAAGAGGCAGCTAGCTAGCTAGCTAGCTAGCTAGCTAGCCAGCTAGCGGGGTGGCGGGGGCGAGGGCGCTAGCTAGCTAGCCAGCGTTGGTTGCTGCGCCTTGGCTTTTATTTGTCTATGATGAATGAGAATTGTAGCTCAAGGGCCTTTTGCCGAGACTGCCCCGCGGGTGTCTTCAGCTGTTTGCTGGCTTGGGTGCTAGGGGGGCGTTCGCGGGTCTTTTTGGGGCTTTGCATGCGCCCGAGCACATCCTTTTGTGCCTTTTTGCATTTCCATGAACAAGTCCCAAGTGCTTGTGCAGTATAGTGCACTTGCGTTTCTTATTTGCTGCCTTTTTGCGTTTGTGGGGCCCCTGTGCGCGAGCGGCGCCGTTTGGGTGTCTGTACGTACACCCTATCCAGCCGTCTGCGCAGAGCCTCCCCGCGCAAATGCGCCCGTTCGCATGCAGTAAAAATCTGTATTATACATTTATATTTCTATATATATATATGTATACATATATATGTATGTACATTTATATTTTTTTGCATTTGTGTCTTCAAGCGTGGAAGTGCAGTGTACAGGTGGCTGCACATGCGCCTTCGGGCCGGGCGGCTGCGCTGCTGGTGCAGTTAGATATGCAAAGATGCTGTCGAGCATTTTGAGGCATGCAGAAGTCATTTCATATGTGTATATATATAAATTATTTGTGCAACTGAGTGGCCTGCAATGTTCCACTCCGAGGCGTGGCCTGTGGCAGGTGTATGTACGCCTCTGTGTGTCGCGTGCATGCACGAGTGCGGCGGTTCAGGTGTATGTACAGTGTCTGCACTTGCAGCTGTGCCTCCAAGTACAGAAGTTGCGGCGCTGCAAACGTGTATATATCGATATATAGATATATGGATATCTGTAATATATATAGATATCTTTAAGTGCAAATGTGTTCAGATTTATGCATAAACGGGTGCATAAGTACATTTTGTAATGTACGCATGCCGAGAAACTCACAGACACCACTTTTGGCTTCTTTCTTGTCTTTCGTGCGGGGAGTGCATTGGGCAAAGACCCACAGAACAATCAAACCAACTTGCTGTTAAGATTGGCCTTGAGGCTCCGTGGTTGCTGCTGTTGCTGCTGCTGTTGCTGCTGCTGCTGGTGGCTGCTTTGCTGCTGCTCATTTGAAATGCAGAAGCAAATACTTTTTTAGTCCTGTAGGCTTTGAGTGCAGGCAGTAGTAAGCCTTGTGCTCAATAGTGGGCCGGGGTGTCCGGTCCTGGGGTGTACGCGCTGTTATTTTGTTTATTTTTATTTCAAAAAAATGCATTTTATTTTTATTATAATAAAGATTTCCCCCCTTCTGCTCCAAATCCAAGTGGAGTGTCAGTCAGCCCCGGGCGCCGCTGCGCAGCCGGGAGTGCTCTGGTGGCTGTCTCGGGGGCATTAAGCTCCAGTTTTGTTTTATTAGTTGATTAATAGTAGAAAAAATAAAGAATTAATTAAAGTGGTGTGCAATTTGCCTCGAAATGCTGTGGGGTTGCGGCCGCCGGGCTTCGCGCGCGAAGATCTGGGGTGTACTTACAGCTGTGGCGGCGGCGACGGCGGCGACGCTAAGCAGTGTGTCCTTCTTTGCTCTCACTTCTGATCCTTCTGCTTCTTTTTTGACTCATTTTCACTCAATTTTCCGAAAACCAACTCACCATTTTCGTTTTCTGGCTGGCCAGCGGCCCCCCAGCCTCCTCCAGGCCTCTCCCCCGCTTTCTCCCTCTCTAGGGTCACCTAGGAGCGCCACTGAAGACCCAGGAGCCCCCCATCCCTTTTCTTCCAGCCCTTCAAGTGCGCCCCGGGGCCCCCCGGCAGCAGCAGCAGCAGCAGCAGCAGAAGACCCTCCCGAGCCCCCTCCTGCAGTCATGGCGTGGCGCAGCCACGGGAGCAACAACAAAGAGCTTGTGGAGAACTTGAGGCGCTCAGGCGTCTTCAAGGACCAAAGGGTTTTCGACGTCATGCTGCAGGTGGGGCGCAAAACCCGAGGACCTAGGCCGCTCCACGGGCCAAGGGTTTAGGGTTTAGGGTTTAGGGTTTAGTGCAGCGAGGCGAGGGCACACACAGGGAAAAGGGCCGACAGCAGACAGAGCCAGCCACAAGACACAGCAGCTGCATGCACATGGCCCCAGCGGAGCCCTTTCCGCATATTCCTCACCAGCAGCGCGTGGGCTCTAGGGTTTAGGGTTTAGGGTTTAGGGTTTGGGCGTGGGTGTTTTGCCAGGTAGACCGGGGTCACTTCGTGAGCCAAGACCCTTACCTGGACATGCCCCAGTCCATAGGCTTCGGGGCCACCATATCTGCACCCCACATGCATGCAATTGCTCTTGAACAACTTAAAGAAGAACTGGTGTGGGGCCACAGGGCCCTCGACGTCGGTGCGTGCTCCCCAGGTGTACGTACACCGCAGCGACCCCGCGCTGCAGCCGCTGCTCCCAACGCCCTCGAGGCGCTCCCTCCCCAAGGGGCCCCCGAGGGGCCCCCAAATGGCCCCCAAAGGGCCCCTATGGCCCCCTTGGGGCCCCCGGAGGGCCCCCTAGGGGCCCCCTAGGGGCCCCTAGGGCGCACGAAGGGGCCCCCTGAGGGCCCACTAGAGGGCCCTTAGGGACCCTAAGGGGCCTCGCGAGGGCCCCCGAAGTGACCCTCCGAGGGCCCCAAAGGGCCCCCCAGGGGTCGTTTGAGGGCCCCCGAGGGCCCCTGAAGGGCCCCCCGGGCCCTGCGAGGGGTCTGGGGCCCCAGGGCCCGAGTGCAGGACTTGTGGGGCGCCAGTGTTTGCATTTAGGACCTTTTGGGATTATAATTTGGAAAAGAAATGCAACTGAGGGTTTGCTGGTTTGCTGCAGGATCGGGGACAGGCTATTTGACAGTTTGCATGGCCTTGATGGTGGGCGCTGGGCAA